TAAATAAAAAATAAAAATAAAATAAAATAAAACAACAACAAAAAGTCAGAATAAAGAATTATGATTTATGACTTTCGCATGTTTTGCTGCTTGTATTCGACTCAAGTGTGTGTGTGTGTGCGAGTGTGTGTATATGATTTAGCTTTTGTTCTCTGCTGGCCATTTGCTTGAAAAGCTTTGAAAGCCTTTGCCTTTGATGTGCATTTGCAAGCTGTTAAAACGCAAATCACTTTTGACATTCGCCGTTGCGGTTTCGATTTCGAATTCGATTTCGATTCTTGCAATTTTGACCAAATGCGGTGCATGCAATACAGGTGTGCCCCCCCCTCGGACTGCTGCTCTTTTTGGCCAACTGCCCAGCCAGCTGTGTTGCTGCTCGTGAAGTTGAAGCTTTGATTTTGAGGTCACGGCAGCTGGCTGCACATTGCGCATACGCCGCGTTCGCCGTCAGCCAGTGACATGCGCAAACAGTTGACAATCGCCGGCGACGCGACTCAAGTGATTGCCAATCGATAAGCACGCATCGAAGAAGCAACCGAAGCAGCTGGCAAACGGCCCAGCACCCAGCACCCAGCACCCAGCAGGGCGCGTACAGCTACTCGTAGTTGGTTTTGAAGTTTTTTGCTTATCATTTATATTCATAGATATATATGCGCACATATATGTGCATATATCTTTTTTATCTGCTTAGCTATTAACATTCCGCGGCGGGTTTTTTGTTTCGTTTCGTTTTGTTTTTGTCGCCTTGTCGAACTTGTTGATTCGCTGGCATTTCTCGATTGCTCTCAAGTGTGCGAAATTGTTAGCGCGCTCGATTGGAAATGCTGAGATCGCAGCAAGTGCGCGCCGCATGCATTTGCATTTTGCACTTTGCATTGAGCTAATCAGGTAATCGATTATAGGATGATATCGGTATAGTTTAGATAGTTGGCAATCCAAAAATGAGCCTCACAGTGATTTGCGCTTGATGCACTTCATTTAATAAGTCAATTTACGTATACATCTGAACGTACATTAATCGATATCGAACTATCGATAGTCGAAGATCAGTCTAAATACATATTTTTGCTTTAACATCAACCACAGCAAAGCTGTTAATCGATCACTAAAAGCTATCCATAAATCCTACTATCCATTTTATTCATTGAGACATGCAGCCGATGATATCGATAGCATATAAATAATATATGCACACATCAAAGTCGAATTGATCGATTTAAATAACCCGAAGGACGATGCTAATCAGCTAAATTATCGTTAAATGAACCCAAAACAAGTTCCACAAACCTATCGATATTTCCAAACATTGTCGCGCATGCAAAATATACATCAATCGCACATACATACGCATAGAGTATAAATACCTGTCCGCGATTTATCTGATGGATCAATTAATTAATCAATCAACGATATATTCTCAATTTAAGTTGAGCTCGTTTGGCACAGCCATCAATCCATACCAATATATTTGAGACAATCGATTAAGTATATTTATATACGTTGTATATGCAAAAATAAAACCGGTATGCTCCTAAAAATATAATTATAGCAATAAACAATGCTAACAGCAAATTGCGAAATGAGTCACGTGGAATCACAAAACGAAAAATAAAAATAAAAAATAAAAAATAAATAAATAAATAAAAACCGCAAAAAATTTCATTCGATAATTGCCAAACGAAATTTATCGCGTCTTCCTTGGAATGAATGGAAGCAACCGCAATGTGAAATGTGCATAAAATAAATTACGGGCAAATTGTATAACACTCACACTCGCGCCCATCCTCATACTGGTATTAGTATTGGTATTAGTATTCGTATTCGTATTCATATTCAAATTCGATAACAAGTACGAGACTTAACAATGATTTGTTGTGTCCAGCCAAATGGGACGAGTATATATAACAGATATATATGTATGTAGATATATTATATATATGTAGTATATAATATATAGTATATAACATACATTAAACATTATTCATTGGCTCGCATCGTATATCGAAGCGAATCGTTGCCTCTGCGGATCGTGTGCAATCCGAAAATAACATATAATGCACATGCATATGATATTTAAAATAATTTTGTTAAGTATTTAACATTATTATCATGCTGTCTGTGCCTTGCGCATTATGTTTGCGCTACGTGCCTCAGCTTCACTCCACATTTCACACGATTCGAGCGAACGTACGTCCGAAGCAAGCAAAAACCGAGAGGGAGAGAGCGATAGAGATAGAGAGAGAGGGAGAGAAACGAACACTAAATGAAAGAAAGACACAGCAACAACAACATGAGCAAAAAATACAAAAAAAGAAAAAAAAAAACAAAAGAATAACCAAGCAAACTAATGGCATTTCAAGTGCTCTACATGTGGGCGTGGCAAATGCTTTGAAGTCGAGCAGATTTCGTGATGTATATATATACATTTATATATATGCACATGTATACTCCAATTGAAGAACCAGGAGAAAAATCGCAAAACCTCAATATCGCTTGCGAACAGCTTTGTGGCTATCGGTTATCGAT